CAGAGGTGTAATTGTACCTCTTTGACTTCTTTGCTTGTACCAAACGGTACAGAAAATCTACAATTCTGGGGTAAGAAAAACCTCATTCATAGTTCACATCTTATCCCTAAATGCACGTGTCATATCACAATATATAAATTATGACACGTGACATGAGAAAATAGCCAAATTTAAGATAAACATAAACATGCTGTACACTTTAATATTACTTAGTTAAACTTTATGGTTGATACAACTCACAACATTAATTATGAGCTTAAAACTAAATACTAAATACATTTTAAACACCTACACGACCTCCCGAGACATTTAAACAGCCACCATTTCTGCAGGTGACGTCATTTACGATATCAGCGCCCCCAAGTGAATATATAAAATATATAAATTTTTAAAAGCTGTTAGTATAAAAAAATATTAACTAATAACACTAAATTAATTATATATAAAATTGCCCTATTTTATTTAAATTTAATCCACTGAATATATTAAACATTAAATTAAAAAGTTAAACAATATCACGTGACATAAGTTAATCGAATAAGACTGATAACACTTTTAAATAATCGTAAATTAATTAAATATTATCAGTTTCTTTTATTTAATCTTATAATAAGATAAGAAAAATAACGATATAAATATAAAATTTATTGTTTTTTTTTAAATTGAAAATGATAATTAATTTCAAATATTTCCAAAAGATGGCGAAAGAATCGTCTCTGAAGACGTGAAATTAATTTAAAATATTATAAATAAATCTTCAATGTTAATTTTTAATCACGTGTAATACGTAGGAGTTTTGTTAAGGTCAGCAATTATTTAAAAAAAAAAAAAAACAGGAAATTCTTCTCCCGTTAATGAATGTAGGATCAGATTACTTTTAAGGAAAATGCGTGGGTTCAAGTAAACGCTTAAAAATACTCGCTCCAACAACTTAACTACAACATAATTTTATCTTATATAATTTATATTACTTAAATTTGTAAAATGTATTATTTTTATCAAAAAAAAAAATATATAAAAAATAATAATTTTAATATTCGAGTGACTGGCAACGTTAAAAAAAATCTCATGGAATGACGTCATCATAATTTATAAATGTTAATATCATATTTTAAAAATTAATATTTATTTTACTAAACTCACCCTCAAAATTATGCTTTTTGCCTTTTTATACTAATTAAAAATATAAAATGTTTTTATATTTAATAAAATATCATAACAAATGGCCCAACACGCAGTTTTAAATGTTGCCGGGAAAGTTAAGCAACTCGTTTTTAAACGTTTTTATACGGGATTGCTGCCTTTTAAAGTTAAAGAAATCCTACGAGATAATAGGAGCCTGCTTACGTAAGAGGCAAGAGCGGGTCGAGTTNAATACCTCATTCATAGTTCATATCTTATCCCTAAATGCACGTGTCATATCACAATATATAAATTATGACACGTGACATGAGAAAATAGCCAAATTTAAGATAAACATAAACATGCTGTACACTTTAATATTACTTAGTTAAACTTTATGGTTGATACAACTCACAACATTAATTATGAGCTTAAAACTAAATACTAAATACATTTTAAACACCTACACGACCTCCCGAGACATTTAAACAGCCACCATTTCTGCAGGTGACGTCATTTACGATATCAGCGCCCCCAAGTGAATATATAAAATATATAAATTTTTAAAAGCTGTTAGTATAAAAAAATATTAACTAATAACACTAAATTAATTATTTATAAAATTGCCCTATTTTATTTAAATTTAATCCACTGAATATATTAAACATTAAATTAAAAAGTTAAACAATATCACGTGACATAAGTTAATCGAATAAGACTGATAACACTTTTAAATAATCGTAAATTAATTAAATATTATCAGTTTCTTTTATTTGATCTTATAATAAGATAAGAAAAATAACGATATAAATATAAAATTTATTGTTTTTTTTTAAATTGAAAATGATAATTAATTTCAAATATTTCCAAAAGATGGCGAAAGAATCGTCTCTGAAGACGTGAAATTAATTTAAAATATTATAAATAAATCTTCAATGTTAATTTTTAATCACGTGTAATACGTAGGAGTTTTGTTAAGGTCAGCAATTATTAAAAAAAACAGGAAATTCTTCTCCCGTTAATGAATGTAGGATCAGATTACTTTTAAGGAAAATGCGTGGGTTCAAGTAAACGCTTAAAAATACTCGCTCCAACAACTTAACTACAACATAATTTTATCTTATATAATTTATATTACTTAAATTTGTAAAATGTATTATTTTTATCAAAAAAAAATATATATAAAAAATAATAATTTTAATATTCGAGTGACTGGCAACGTTAAAAAAAATCTCATGGAATGACGTCATCATAATTTATAAATGTTAATATCATATTTTAAAAATTAATATTTATTTTACTAAACTCACCCTCAAAATTATGCTTTTTGCCTTTTTATACTAATTAAAAATATAAAATGTTTTTATATTTAATAAAATATCATAACAAATGGCCCAACACGCAGTTTTAAATGTTGCCGGGAAAGTTAAGCAACTCGTTTTTAAACGTTTTTATACGGGATTGCTGCCTTTTAAAGTTAAAGAAATCCTACGAGATAATAGGAGCCTGCTTACGTAAGAGGCAAGAGCGGGTCGAGTTAGGCCTTTTTGCATACAAGCTCTCGATGGCCCTTCAAGCTGCATTGCTAGCAGCGTATGGTTCAACAGTAAAAGCAGGATTGAAGCATTCACCAGTGGTCCTCCACACTCTAACCCGGTAGTCATCCAAACCCAAACAAAACTGGGATTTGTTTCTGAAGACCATACGTTATCAGTCCGTACCAATTCATATGTCTCTGTCACGGCACCATTAAAACAAAGTTGGCGATGTATCTAGGCATACCTAGCATTCTGAGACTTCCAAACAACAGGCAAACTGAAATTCTGAACACATTAGGCCTCTGCAAACCTTTTTAGAGGATAGCGATTTTAAGGCCTTCTGATTATTTTAACTCTCTCCTCCCTGTGGGCACCAAGAGGACCTTTTTTAGTAAGTCCGTTATGAGTTCTGCCAATTCCACAATGGGGTGAGATGTGGGGACCACCATGAGGACACTAAAACACTCTTTTTAGTCATACCCGTTGTGTGTTCGGCCAGGTCCATAATGGGAGCAACCGGGTAGTGAGGGATGGGGCCCTATATATTTGGGATATTTCTGGGATTTCTCACACGAATTCGATCTCGGGTTCCCTAGAGTAATAAATATCGCCTCGACCATACGGCCGCAAATAATAAGTTTAAAAGCACGAGACCCTAAGATGTAATTTATTCAGATTATACACAAATCCAACCTCGAACAGGCCTCATATATTAAAAATTGAATGTCAAAACTAGCTTGAATCTAGTAGATTCTCCATTACAATTTGGGGGAAATTAATTATAATCTGTACATTTTCTGACCCGGAAAAACAGGATGCCGTGATACAGATTTCTTATTTAACAAGGTTAATATCCGTTACTGAAGATCATTAACAAGGTTATCAAGTATCAAGTTATTCGATGTAATGTAACCTTCTATAGGAGTCAACATACATTTAAGTATCAAATTTTACGACTTTAGTGAATGAGGGATTACAATTTCGTGACTTGAAACAGATTGTAATCTCGAACCTTTATATTGTTCCCCTTAAATTTCAAGTAATTTCGTTATCTGACATCCATCAATTGTAGTTCTTTCTTTGTCTAAACGTTACCAATGGATTATAATTTAGTTTTTAAGAAATTTCGAGTACAATTCGATTCATTTTTAGTTTTCTAACCAAGTTCCTTCTAAGGGCGACGGCTGCTCACTGATGTCTTTGATGCTCCTGCGTGTTAAATAGGACGTTAGAAATACATATTTGTGTTTTAAATAAACACAACATAGTCCTTTTTTTAATATATAATGCTTTTGAAGCTTCCATAAATGTGAAATATGAGTCGAAAGGTTCTGCTGGACGTCCCTATGATAGGACCTACTTCTAATTAATGAATTTTTATAACTTTTTAATATATTATATAATTAATTAGAACGTTTTCGTGTGTATTTTTGCTTATTTTATAATTAAATATGTAAAAAAATGACTTAAAGCAATATTTACGTTATAATCACTTTTAAAACAGACTTATTTTCTTCTTTTTTAAAGAATTTCTTGTGTAAACTTTATTATAAACTTTTTAAAATGAATATTTTTCAAATTCTTCTACGTTCTTTTCTATATTTAAATCAGAATCTAAAGTGGAGATGGTTCTGAATGCGTGGGCCCACCAGTTGTCCATGCATACCGAGTGGATAAAACTGAACTTTAGTCGTGAGTTCACACCCGATTAACGTGCTCCCCACGTGAAAGTTTTCCGGATTTTCTTCATGTAAAACCTAAACAGGAGCCAGTTTTCGTTAGACAGGCACCCCTATATGTTGCCATCAAACCTCATATTCGTCACTGCTGGACTTGTCATAAAGGTGGGCCTCACTCCACCACTTTCGAAGCCATAAAATATATGAATAAAATCAATAAAACAATTAAAAACAGGTTTTCCAACATACAAATCAAGTTTATTTTACGTCAAAACAGGCCTAATTTTGGTGCCTCTCTGTGTTCAGGCCAGCCCTAAACGATAATTTTTCCCTTAAAAACTTGGTTTTAGATGATAATTTATACGTTATAAAAAAAAACTGAAGCTTATTTAATCTATTATTATTGTTATAAATCACAGATGACAAATCAGTAAGGCCTATCAACACTTAATAATTAAGAAATGTGAGTTAATTTAGAGAATTGAAATTAGATCAATTGTCCAACTTCTGGCTTATGTTTTTAACTGTGAAAATTATAGAAATTATCAATTTTTCTCTGCTGAATTTTTCACTAACAAAGGAATTAATATTCTGTAAACGGAAATTGGTATCGATCTATATATCTTGATATCAAACTATTGTACTTTGTCTCACTTTTATCTATATACACAGGGGCGTGTATTAAGTTGGCTTTGGTATCCCAACAAAGTCAATTAGCTTTAATAAAATGAAGTCTAAGCATTTTAATATATTTATATTATTTAAAATATGTATTTCTCTAACATATGCAGTCGGTAAGTTTTATTTATTTATTTTCATTTCTGTATTTAAAACGTAAATTTAACAAAAATTTTTATTAATTTTTTAAATAATAATTAAGTTTTATGCTTATTAAATACTATCTTTGTTCTGTTTTAATAATCTAATAAGTAGTTTTACTTGTTTACCATGTTCAACGTTTGTAATTAATACTAAGGTGGTTCAAAAATCAGTTAACCATTATAGTTGACTTGTTAAATACCGTCTCATTTGTTTGTAGTTGTATCTGGAATACCTGAAGCATGGTTAACTGGCTTTTTTGTTATCTTTTTTATATATAAAACTAGTCTAATTTTATATAATTCTTTAAAATAATCGTTTAATCGTAATTAATACGAAGGGTGGTTCAAAAGTCAGTTAACTGTTACAGCTATCTTCTCATTTGCTCACAGTTGTGTCTGGAATATATGAAGCGCAGTTGACTGACTTTTGGGCTCTTCTTTATTTGTTTTTATACGTAAAAATAACTTAATTTTTTACAGTATATTATTTTTTAAAATACTTTTTTTCAACTTTTGAAACAATATTGTGTCTACTATGGTGGGAATTTTACACACATTGAAGAGGGATTTTTCGCGGAAAATTTGGATAATAATATAATTTATAAAGGAACGTGTTAAAGAATGATATACAGTATTTAAAATAAAAATGGGCATATAATTTAACATAAAATATAAAGTAGATATGAAATACAGTAATATCAATGATCTTCCCTTCAGAGAGCACCCTAAATTAAAAGATGCGCCTCTAATTTTAAATAGCCTAGAGACAAAATATTCGAGTCATTGTCTGTTTTATGCAGAGGGGTGGCCCAAAAGTCGGTTAACCGGCGTAAAGACTAAATTGGATTAATGTAATGCGTAAAACTATTTAAAATGAGACTTTTCTGGTGCGTATTACAAAGCTTCGACACAAATGCGAGGTTAACTGACTTTTGGTCCACCCTGTAGGGTTTTTTTTTTTTAAATATAATCTTAATTATATTATTAAATCTTACAGATCCACCACCAAATATAGAAGGCAGTTATCATGCCATCACAGAAGTATCTTGGGTGACTAAAGAAGAAGATTATGTTATTATGATGAGTGAAGAAAATTTCGATTTGAAAACTAAAAGATCCTCTTTTACACTTTATGATGATTCTATGAATGTTACGATTTACGAAGATATGATGTTAAATCAATCGTTAATATATGATGCTGAGGGTATTTATCATCATTAAAATTAATACGATTTAAGTAAAGTTATAAGAACCTCCTTACTCACTAGTATCTACTTTTTAACAGGTTGTAGGGCTTATAAACCGAAAGAATGGCTTAAAGTTCATGGCCCACCGGATTTAGAAATGTACGAAATTGGTGAAAATAAAATATTTTTCCCTCTCATGCAATTATTTTGGGGTCTACGCCCGAACAACCTGAAACCTGGCACAGATAGGACACTCGTAACTTATAGGGATGTGTCAGCTCAGAAATGGACTTATCTACTCAATTATCAGAGTTCGGATAAAAAATTCAAACATACCATAGAGATCGATGCGTTCTGGTCAGGTTAGTAAGCTACCCAAAAGTCAGTTGACCGTTGTAAATACTGAATCGCTCTCCTCTTCGAATGCTTGGTTTACTTCGAATTTTCTTGCGAAAAAGCACGGTTAATTGACTTTTAAGCAGCTACATATGTTTAAATTATATCTATTAACTGTTAATATCTTCTTTGGCTTATGAATTAGATTATTTAATAAGAAAAATTAATTAATAGGAATTATAATGGATATCTTTGTAAAGGTTTATGTACCGATAATGATTATAATTGAATTATTTTTTTGTACATTTTATAGACGGAGAGGCATTTGGTCCTTCAAAAGAACCGCTGAGGCCTTTAGGATATGCATTTCGTCGAACGTCTGTAAACCTGACCTCACGACTAGAAGAGAAATATAACTATAGCATTAACATTTTCTACTTTCTGCAAAATGTTTTCAATAAAAATGCATTACAGGTTAATATTTAAATATATTTAATGATAAATTAATTTAAAGTATAAATGTTTATAAATGTACAGTACAAACAAACTATCTCAGAAGCCATAAAACCTTATAAAATTTAAAAATATACTGAGTATTATATATTAAATATTAGGCAGTATTAGTGGCATTTTAAGGCATAACTAACCTAGGCTTTCGCCTGGGATCTCGGATTTTAGGGCTGGATTTAGATTCTGGTGTAATGTCAATGCTGTTCTTGACCTCCACTAAATAATAATTTATATTTAAAAATGTAAGGTTCTGAGCCTCGTAAAGTTAGACCTTAAGCTTAGTCTTGTAGGTGACGTTTTAAACCAGTAGCGTGTTATAGTTCATGGGGGCCAGGCGAATTTGAATTAGGGCTCCATGTGTAATACAGTGTTGACGTCAGACATTTTTCTTCCAGGAAATTTTTTAGGGAAATATCTTCTTATAAAAGATTGGTTTGGGGCCCTCTATTAGTGGAGGCTCAGACAATTGTCATTAAAAGGACAATTGCCTGAGCCACAGTGCTAAGCTTAGCCTTGTAGTGTAAGGTTCCAACTTAGCCTTGTAGAGAGAAGCCCTGAGCTTAACCTCATAGAATAAGATCCTAAGCTGTGGCTTGTTAAATCCAGCTTTGCTTAGAGATTTAGACAGGTATAAATATATGCATATCGATACTCAGTCTCGGTCTAGCACTCTGAATTCAGAACTAGTTATAACCGTAAACTTAGTACAGTATCGAGTGTTACATGATACAGTTTACATTATATAAAACATAAAAAGGACTTCACATATACTAAACCATCAAGAAAATATACGGATATTATTAAATAAATATGAAGTATTTAACAGATATCTTTAATTAATTTTTATCTTATCAAAACTTGTGATTGATTATTAATTTTATGTCTACTTCAGTAATGTTATCTTAAAACTTACTTTTCATATTATTAATATAATTTTAACATAATTTATATATTTTTAAATAGGTAAAACAAGGTATTCATTGCACTAACAGAATTACAGGCAGGCCATTTCCTAATTTCATGAATTTTGAGGCATTTTCTGTCAATATTGAATACCTGTCGCCAAAATCTCGTATGTTTGGTACTGTAGATGTACGTAATCTTTGCAATTAATTCAACTATAAATAGATTTTTTATATATTTTTATTAATGCATAAATGTTATTTATAGATGTGGGTGGATGGAAAAAATAAACTCGTTCAAATTCGACTAGATCCCCTTAATCAAGAAGTGCAACCGCACCAGAAAAAACAAACAAAAATTCGTATCGCAAGCAACGAACAACGTACGAATTTATAAAAACTATATTAATTAAAAATTAATAAATTATAGGCCTAAGTTTCTACGTCAAGTATATAGGCCTATACAGGGAGGTGCAAAAGTCAGTTAACTATTCCATAGTCGTTTGCAAACTCTACAAAACGAGACCTTTTTTTTCTCAATACACGAACCTCAATTCGTTGAAGACACGCATAAATTCTGAATCTGTCGTAAAACACTCAGTTAATTAACTTTTGGGCCGTCCTGTATTTATTATACAGAATAGAGACAGAGTAAAAATTAATTAACTTATTGGTCTTGCCATTAGAAACAGCGAAAGAGCTTTATATGACATGGAATTTCCTTTTCTCTTATTGGTTAAAGAAATGTAAATTTACAAAATTGGGCGTGTCTTGATTGTCTTATGAGAATCAAATTAAAACTTTAAATTTAAAATTAAAATAATTTTATTTAATATTTTATTTCGTAGTAATTTTAAAATAAATTTTTAATTTGTTCTTTACTATATCTTTATTATTTTTAAAAAATTTTTATATAGAAATTATATACGATATCGACCCTGAAAACTATAAGAAGTGTAAAATAATGCCAATTAGAGAGATGCCATTCGACGAACAAACATTATATGATTTCGATTTGCTTTCGAAATTAGATTTACAGCATTTTTTTGGAAAAGTCCCTTACATTTATATGGGAGAAGTAAACTACATTTTATTAAATTGAATTAAATTATACATTTTGCTTCGTTAATTAAATTTAAACAAAAAAAAATGGTTTTTAGAGTGTGAAAAGAGGTATACCGTGCCGATTATGGCAAGGAGTGAGGAGACAATGGCCATCAGAGCCACAGTACTCTTCTGTTACAACATTGTGGGAGTGGTGCATAGCAGAGAGAACGGTGATTTAAAAATTTGAATTATTTTAAATAAATTTTATTTAATTATTTATATAAAATTTTATTTTCAGGTTAATCCAGTTATGTTTCAAGCTAATACATTACCTGTCGTCTCTTTAGACATTACAGTTATTGAGGTATATTTAATTTATGCATAATAAATACAATTAACTCTTAATACGCCTACTTATAAAGTTTCGAATGCAAATTAACCAATAAGATTAATCTAAACCGTTAAGTAATGAATACGTAAAAATATTAACCAATCAGAGTTCAAAGAGATTTATGGAGGATGTCCAATTTTTCTGGTTTGAACTTGATTGGTTATTTCGTTTCTTGTTAATCATACATTGGTTAGTTCTAAGTTTAAAACGTTTTTAAATAATAATTGAGAATAAAATATGATTTTAATTAACTTTTTTAAAATTTAATTACAGAGTCCTCTTACTTCTGCTGAAAGTTTCTTTACTTTAGGACAAAAATTAACTTATAGTTTTTACAACTTTAATTATCGTACATCTAATTATATCAACACAGTAGCTTTCGATATAAGTCAATGCTTTCCTCCAGAATTAATTGAGCCATGGAGATTTAAAGTCAAATGTAAGATTATATTAATATAGATTTATTTTTAGTTTTCTTTTCTATATTTTAAGAGTAAAACAATAAACTGTTCAACGACCAGAGTTATATAGAAAAGTGGTCTATGTAACTGTTCCTTCTTACTAAAATATTCTATATTTATAGCTTTTATAATGTAATCAAGAATCAAATTTTATAGATAATCTCTGGATTAGAATTACTGTATTTGCGAAATTTTATTTCCTGATCTTCCAAGTAGGCCTACTGGGTAGACAATTGGTCTAACCTTTTCTTTTGCTACACCCTATGAAATTTTATGAAAAATTTCTAAAGTTTACTCATTTAAGTGTGTAAGATCACTCCATTTTCTCGTGTGTTCTTTGACCTAACCTTAAATATAGTTAAGAGATTAAGAGAGATCCTCCAAAATCGTACTGGCATCAAACACAAATTAATAATGGGTTTCAGAAATATCTGTAATTTAAAGGGTCACACGCTTCCAGATAAGAGGTCTGGTTACTCATGGGGTGCATAGGCCTATATCTCATATTAAGAACCACTGCTTTATACAATGTTTTAATATCTTTAATTGCACTACCAGAAAAACTTTTAATAAGTGATAAAATATATATATTTCCATTAATTTAGTAAACACCAAAAGCAAAACAATTTTAAGCAATTTGACAATTGATGCTGATTTTATCGGCGCTTGGAAAGAAGCCATTTATTCTGCAAGTAGCCTTGAACCTTCATCCCTGAGAATAACCAGAGTTCGAACTGTGAGTTGCTTTTATTTTTGTGCTTATTAAGAGAAAACCACTTCATTTTCATGTATAAATTTAAATTTTTACAGGTAATCGTCGAATCGGAATTATTTATCGAATTTTACATCCTGAATCTTCATCCTGGACTACCAACTACTGTTAATGATAACATTAAATCATCAGTCGCCATAAAAACATTAGAAAATTTTATCAATACCGGTTCTTTAGCTGTGATTTGGCAGAAAAATGTAACTCAGGTAAGCATTTTCTGTTCGTGTTTTATCGTAAAGAGATACAAATTATTATTAATTTCTTTTGTTATTCTGTTACAGCCACTGACATTAACAGCTGTCAAATATAGTCTCACTAGACAATATGAAAAACTGAAACCTCCTCCCCCTACTTCAGTAACTTCAATAAATACAGAACCGACAAAACAGGAAACAGAAACAACAGAATATACACTTACAGGTGACGTAATCATTATTGGTTCAACCAAAGGAAGACATTCTACTACTCTAACTCCAACTTCAAGAACAATTAAGCCTACCCCTACGAAAAAAATAGTCACTGAACGTCCCAAAATTAAAGATAGGCTTACCGGACATTCAAAAGGTACAATGGCAGCTTTAAGCGTGGGAATGCTTCTGTTTGGAATGTCATTAGGAGCAGGGGGAACATTTGTTAAATTCAGATATTTTAAAAGATAAATATTCAATATTAAACATTGTTTATTTTTTATATCTTTATATTGTGTAACAATACAGGAAATAATATGTAAAATAATATCATTAAACAATTTTTTTTAATAATTTATTTACACTTATAAATAATTATTTTTACTACTGTAGTAAGGTTTATAACTTATATAACTGTATCTTGAATGACAAAAATTATGGTTTATGTAATTTATTTTTGAAATATTTCAACAGAAGTGTATGGAATATCAGAATGAACATATTTTCTATCATGTTGAGTAATAAATTAAAGGATACATTCATCTAAAGATAAATATATTCATTCTAAATCTATTGAAAATAGAATTATTTCACGACTCGACTAATCTCTACACGAGTTCCTACGAAGTACAGCTAACGAAATCATGTATTATTTTCGTCTAGTTTAGCTGCCGATATATAATATGGCCAGTAAATACTATTAAAAACGATAAACAGTAATGGATACAGTACACGACATGCACGATCTAAAGTACGTGCTTCTTCAACAGCTGTAGGAATCTCGCTTTTATCCTTATGTTCCGAAGCAACCACATGTAAGTTTCCACTGGTTGCATCCTTGACTTGTAACTGCTTCTAGTGGAAACACAAATAAATTAATAAATAAGAAATTTAAGCAGTAATTAACTTAAAAATTATGCCAAAAAAAAAACTAACCTTAACGACGAATAATCGTTTCTTAGAATTTGGGTTAGGAATGGGTCGTCTACTTATGTAATTAGCGAGTGGAAACTCTAGTAGAGCGGTAAAGACGAAGAATGAACAGAATCCGACCCATACGTCTATAGCTGTTACGTAAGCAACTGGAGGTAGACGTTCTCGGATGTTTCCTGCTGATGTAGTTAAGGTAAGAAGAGTCGTTACTCCCAGAGATACTCTTCCAGGTACTGCAGTAACATCCAACCAGAACGACATCCAGGACACGATAACAATGAAGGTTGTCAACATATACGAATACATTAAATGATAACTATTCTGGCGTTTGAAACGAAACGTTGCATTCACACAACTGAATAGTCCGTTTACATCTATTAAAGATAATTGCGGTTGTTACGAAGGTTAATGTGGCAAAATAATTGAAGGATATTCTAAATAAAAACATGCTTAAAATTGCGTACAATCAGTGTTCATACCGAAGGAAAATAAAAACATATGTTACAAGTAGCAATTACGTGAGAGTACCGAAGAAATGTAATCCAGTTATGTTTCAAGCTAATACATTACCTGTCGTCTCTTTAGACATTACAGTTATTGAGGTATATTTAATTTATGCATAATAAATACAATTAACNCCGTTTACATCTATTAAAGATAATTGCGGTTGTTACGAAGGTTAATGTGGCAAAATAATTGAAGGATATTCTAAATAAAAACATGCTTAAAATTGCGTACAATCAGTGTTCATACCGAAGGAAAATAAAAACATATGTTACAAGTAGCAATTACGTGAGATTACCGAAGAAATGTAAGAAAAATTTGTAAAAAAAACATCTTACAATGAAGTAAAAGTAACTAAAAATTCATGAAATCAAACTCAAAAAGAAAAATTTAACTTAAAATATAACATAAAATAACACGAAATTAACTTGGAATATATCAAAAAAAGAATGAAATTTTAGTAAAACTCTAAATATTATTACGAAAAGTTGAGTAAAATTATTTTGTTTTTAAGTAAAGAAACATAAATAGAACAATAACAAATGCATAAAATCATCTGCAAACCAAAAAATTCAGCTTATTACAATTAACAAAAATCGCATTATTTCGGTAACAGAGCATGTATTTCAGTGAACTTCGGCCCATTGAAATAAAAATTTGGCCAGGAAAAAATGATCAAATTAACAATTAAACAACAAAACTTTCATTTAAATTAAATTGTATTTGATGAATTGACTAATAAAAATGACATTAAAGCAATGTTAAAGAAATTAATTTAAAATTACAATAATTAAATATTACTTAACTTAATATTAGTAAATAATTTAATTAAAATATATTTTAATTAATTAATTAATCTGTTAAAATTATTAATTAATATACAAAGATGTGCACGTAGAGAATCGGAATTCCGTTGAAATTTTATTTTAGAAAGTTAAAGTTCATTGTATTGATACAATTCTGAATATTTTAAAATTTATGAATGGTTTTCAGACTTTAAAAAAAATTTATTTTTAGTAACAGATTGCGTGCAGGTAAAAACCCGTTCTAGTTGAAAAAATATGCATTCGATTGTTGGTTATTTATTAAAAATAAAGCAATTTCTTACCAGCTCCCTTGTAGTGTAACTTTCTAATCCCAGTTCTAACAGGGGATAGAAGTTCGAATTCCGTCAACTCCGCATCCGGATAAATCTCCACTCCTATTGTACTTTCATCCCAAACTAATTCCAATTCTTTATCTGTTAACGAATCTAAAAATCCTCTTAAATTAATTGTAAGAATGTAAATTAGTTATTAATTAATATTTAAAAAATTGAACACGGTTAACATCTTACAAGAGCAGAGAATCAGAGGACATCGCTGCGTATCTAAAGGATAGTGACGAACGTCCATGCGACATTCTAGAGTCACAGTTAATCTATTATAAAAGAAATTCTAGTTATTTTAAATATATAAGAGTGTATAGTTTTATAAAATTAAGCTCACCTCTTGCTGTATATGATACGTCCATTAGGTTCTAGTAGCAAACGTAGATTTGGGAAAGGTTCTTGATAGAAGTCGACTTTCTTCAGATGAAGGAAGCGAAGATCTGGTGTCCATATGTTATTAAAATATTCTCTTATGTCCCTTTTTTTCGGGCATTTTGTCTTCTTCTCTTGATTTTCGGGGTTACAGGTCAATCGAGTGTCGTCCCAAGAGAGCGTAAACTGAGCATCGATCGAATATTCCTGAAGACAGAGAACATCATACGAAGAGTTTTGTTCTTGTATCACGCACGGAACTGTCGTTAATATAGAAAAAGTTGTATAACAATCGAGTTGTTTATGAATCAATAAAGCTGCCAAACCAATCAAAGGAGCCAGAAGGAGATTTAAAAGTTTCCTTTTTAACTTTGTAAAAAGGAAGCTTAGCGTGACAGTTTAATAGACATACAGATGAGAGACTTTTAACAGTATTTGGCAGAATTATCAATACTCTAATGACATTTAACTTTATTATTTCTTAATTTAAGTTATTATTTTATAATTAATTAATTTAGTATGTTACGTACGTTAGATACTTAAATTAATCGTTGTATTCGTTAAAAAATAATCTTACATACCATAGAAACATCGCTGATAGATGCCAAGCTGTTTACGTACAAGCTAACATGAATAATTGTCTTTTCTTCTGTAATTTTTGTGAATTTTATGTGTACAAAATTTGTTCTAAAATTTTTTTATATATATATACATATATTATTTTTACATTCTATTGAAATTCTTACCGGATTCAGTAGAAGGTGGTGCTTCAGTTTTGTCGTAAGATGCCAAAATTTTTGACATGACCATGTGACTTGGGATAATGCTAAAATGAGAAAGAAATTAAATATTAAAGCTTCTAATTATTATTAAATATTGTAGAATAAACAATAATCATAGAAAAAAAAATTGATAAAATTTAAATAAATAAGATCAAAATATATGTCGTCTTCTGCAATATATGAAAGATGTTACGTTATCACGTTTTAAAAAAATGTAAAAGATGATTGGTTAGAAATTGATTATTTAATTGGGATTAGGCTGTACAGTACCACGGATGTCTGCAGAGGGAGCAAACATTTGCCCTCCCCTGGGATGAGTATCTTGCACCCTCCACCATGGGAACCTTTGTTTGTCTTAAAACACTAAAAAAATTTAATAATTAGGCCTATATATAAATTTATTAATATAATTATTTATCTTCAAGCTTTGCCTTCCCTAGAAAATTTTCCGCAAACGGTCACGCTATGTTCTATTGTTTGGTGGTGGAGAAGAGCATTTTACTTGTTAAAGTCGCAGTAAATTCGACCCTGTATCAACTATTAATCCTTGTTCTTCTTCTTAGTCTTCAGCTCTTCTCGTATCCTGTTAAAATTACTATTTCTTTTTAAACATGATCACTCCTTTCTACAGCAATCACTGTACAGTTCTTCCATCTTATCTCCTTAACTCCTACCTCCATCATTTACCTGTTCACACAGTTGTCATCCCTCCTCATAATATAGCACTACTTCATATTCCACAATAACTCACCCAGAACCATCAACAGTAATCTTTTATAACCAACTTTCTAATATTAATTTATGCTCCCATTTTCTATTCTATATCATGTTAATTATATCCACTCGATGCGTATCCCATAATAGTCATTAAAATGAGAACATTTCGGACCAGAAACTGTGCAGTTAAGAAGTTTTTGAGAAGTTTTCTCTAAGCACCGGATGCTGTTAATGGAAATGTAACATTGAGAAAGATCGATAGTGACAAGCAGCTGCTTTTATTTAAATAACATGCGGTAGCGGGGTCATGCCTACTTTCCTACTTTATGATAATATATAAAATGCATTTACCTGTCGATATTTCATTTCCCTTTGCTCTGGACGCTTATTTTTTTAATGGAAGATAATCTTTTCATACTGTGTCAAGGTTACGAATTTTTTTATGTTACGAACCGTAAGAGAAATCGTTTTTCTGGATGAATAAGTTCAACAATATACTAACTGAATTTTAAAATATGTATTAAATTATTCAAATTTAAAATATTCTTCGTTACAATGTTTAAAAAAAAATCCATTAAATATAGAATAAATAATGTACAGTACTTTACAGTACAAATACCATTCTATTCTTATAACGATGTGAAAGATAAACGGATTAAAGCTTTCCGTTAATCCGTTAATTATGCTCAAAAATTAATTTAAATATATAAAAATAGTCTCTAAAATATATAAAATATCTTCTAAAATATATTAATTCTTTGATATATTCATACATTTATTCAATTTTCTAATTAGGAGTTACTCTATAGATTTGCATAATTAGCCTTTCTCACTTTATATACGAAGTGAGAAAGGCCAAAAGGTTAAATTACAATATTTATAATATCTTGAATTTTTTTGTTATATGTAATAAGGAACGTCTAACTAGCCTAGTTTTGAAAATAATTGCTTCTTTATGATTTTGGTCTCGATTTTTTCCTGCCCTTAATTGCATAAAAGTCATTTAGTTATATCTAAAGGTATAAAAAACGAGAAATTGGACCTTTATCTAGTTTTAAAATATAAAAATTAATATCTCAAGCCATAAATTACACAAAAAATTATTATTTGAATTATGTTTAAGCTATATAAAACCTTGAAATCATATCAAAGAACGGGCATTTTTATATGGTCATTGTTCAGAGGTTTAATTGTATATGTATGTTTTTATTTATAATAATTTCGTTTAATTATATAATGATGATTAAATTACGATAAATCTGATTATTTGCAGAAATGATTAAATTAAATAGTGAATATAGGCAGTTATCTGCATTTAATGTGTGACATTAAGAAATAAAAGATTTTAGAAGCTAATTGGCTGCATATTAACGCTCTTAATGATGATTGGTTGGAATAATATAAACTGAATACACGACTCAACCAATTAGATACATTCGTGTCAATTACCTTAACCAATCAACCGTCATTAATTTCTTTTGAAATGTTTCACACGTATATCGCGAAGAACAACCAATATTTTTTATTTATTATCATTTTTAACTAAAATTACAAAGTTATGATATTTATTTACAATATATTTCTTCAATTAATTGTATTATTTATTAATTAACTATTAAATTTTAATAACTTTTTATAACGAGAAGTCTACATAAGTTTATTTTTTCAACAATCTCAATTAAGAAAAATTTATTTATCATAAGTAAGGAAACGTCGAGTCAAAGATTAGGAACATAAAACTATTTAATTCCACTTTAATCTTTCTTTAACCGTAAATTTTCCAGCTTAAAGATATGCAAAGTTAGAAGAATAATTTACATTTTGTAGACAAAAATCCTTCTCGTTTGTTTTGATCAAGGTGACAAAAATAATGATAATAAACGAATTTAAAAGAGAAATAATGCATCTTCGAAGTTTAATTTCTCTATTTTGCTGATGTAATGCTGAACTTTGTTGATAATCTCCTTCAAAACAACGCCATTTTGAAGCAATTAAATACAGAATTATAGAAATTAAACAATTTTATGTCTAAATTATTTTTTAACGTTATTCAGATAAGGATAATTTCCTAAAAAGTAACTCAACTGATAAATTTCATTTATACGACAATTTATAAGGGCTTGAATATGTTTAATACCCAGCTTTTCGTGCTGAATACTGAACGTATTTTGAGTGTTTTCGACTTCAAAATTGCATAAATGGCGTTTTAAAGTTCAAATTTAAGCTTTAAAACTTAATTTACAGCATTAAAAAAAATGAAAATACTTAAAATATAACGCATCTATTTTCATTAAATAGTGAAAAAAAAAAATTCATTTTTGTCTTCATAAATATGTAAAAAAATTAAATTAAAATTCGATATGTATGGAATCTAATAGCGAATTTAAGACATAAATCTTACACCTGAAACCTTTAAAATGTAATTATAAACTACAAATTTGATAGAGAAATATATATTAAGATGAAAGCTCATCTTCCGTGCAGTGTGTGTGTGTGGTTCGAACCCAACTTGATAAATTATTAATTAGAAATCGACTTACCTTTCCAGTTGCTCGGCAATGAGGTTAGAAAATAAAAAAAAGAAACTGAAAAGAAAAACCAAGCTCATGTTTGTTGGATATGCAGCTGAAAAGTGAAAGTTAGTGACGGGTATAACGGTGTGAAAGTCGTGCAGCACTTTCCTATTGATTGGGAGAATTTGATCACGTGACGTCAACTTGGGTGGAAAACAATACGAAACACGTGACGACGTGTCTTTTAATAATTCAGCAACGCTGTTGATATCTGAGTGTTATTTATTAATTTCTTAGCATGATAAGTCTCTTTCAGCCGCTGACAGATATGGAAAAAGTTTACTTATCAATCAGGTAATTATAATTATTTATCCTGTAGAAGTTAAAGAAGGAAAACACATGTAAAAAGATACATTATTATTATTATTATTTTTAGCTGAAATTTTTGAATTTCTAAAGGGTTTTTTCCGAGATAAATTCTCATTTTATATATTTCTGGATTTAATTAATTTATTATTTCATATTTTTGCGTAACAGTTTAAGACTCGAATGTCCTTGAATTGTATTGATAAAAAATAAACCATGCTTATATTTAGCTAATAAAATTGTCTCAGCTCTAACGTTATTGCGTAACGATTAAATTGTTAATGCGTTAATGCCATTAAAACTCGTAAAAATTAATATGAGTAAAACTTAAAAAATAATAATAATAATAATATTAAATTCTCAAAATTTATTATCAATTTTATAATTTTTGGGGGTCATAAAGATAAAAAACAGTATTGCTAAAACGGTTCGCGTGTCGCAGTTGCTTACTCGTTTTTTTACTTAAATTCACAAGAAAAAACTGTTTTAATTTAATAATTCGTTAAAAATTTTAACTTTAAATCAATTTTTAATATAAATTTCACAATTTTTTGTAGTATTTTTGCATAAATTTGCTTATATTTTTGTGCGATTTCTAATAGATTTTAGTACAACGTTATCAATTTTCTTCTATTTTTTCCAACGAAATAATAGGAATTTTTAGCAATTTTCGTATTTTTTACAAATTTTTATAACATTTTTTAGTATTTATTCATATTTTTAAATATATTATTCAGATAAAATTATTATTTTTAATGATTTTATCTATTTGCTTTCAGATCCTTCGCCACTAACAGGTTACTGCTAAAAAGCTTAAACCATAAAAAATCAAAATATACATATTGTATTTTGAACTTTTATG